AAAAAAAAAAAAAAAAAAAAAAAAAAAAAAAAAAAAAAAAAAAAAAAAAGCTTCCTAAATATTGAAGTAGACCAATAGTCTGCAAAAAAATGACATAAACAAACATATATTTGTTATTTAAGTAGAACTCTAAACAAAAGTCAGAATCTAATCCAATAAGATTAAACATAGAGAAACCATCCAACAGCACACAAGAACAATACTCAGATTTTGCATTTTACCATTATCCTCAACTGCAACTGACTCCTTGTTGATGGTGAAATTTATTCTAAGAAATTTCTCAGAGACCAGAGTTATGACTAATTCAAAAAAGAAAACAACGCACCAAGGTCACTCCGGGTATTTACGAAAAGATCATGCGGGCAAAAGCGAACCATATAGAACCCGCAGACCTCCTTATCATCCCACATGACTTCCTTGTATCCTCTCCTTTCTTCCTCAGTTAAATTCCGCGCTACAAAAACCAAAACATAGACACTCTGTTAGAAGCAAAATAACTTCCACTATGTAATTTGAAGGAAGACATAAGGCACATGAAAATACAAGCAAGCACAAACTGTGATCAAATGGCAACGGAAAATATACGGGGAAAAAAAACGAAAAACAAATTTCAAATAGGTAAAACACTGTTGGCAATCAGAAATATGGTATACATATTGCAGAACAATCCGTGTTAAATTGCACGCTAGTGCGTAATAATCCCCACATTCCTTTCCAAATTCCTCTAAACTAACAGAGTCACTTCTATTCCTCTCACACTAGAAAGTCCACGAGATTCAGTATCAATAACATGCAAATGGAATCCCATAGCTAGACTGATTGGATACAGTACACAAGATATATCAGTTTGTAACATATCGAATCAAATTGGAAACAGAAATTTCAAAGAAATGGACCAATTTAATCAGAATACAACCTGAACCCATGAGTTCGTCCAGAAGAGCTCTCTGCGCGTCCATACTGAATAAATCCTTTCCAGATGAACGGAAGACGGGGATACCAGAACTTGAAGAAGAACCCTGATTCAGCAACCTGAACTTCAGTGTTGACAAGATTAAAAAGAGCTTTTGAGACTCTTTGGAATGTTTTTGGAGAGAAATTGTGTGGTGCTAGTGCTAGGGTTTGCACCGCAACACGAAGAAAAAACTCATACAGAGACGCGAAAGATATATGAAATTCACAATTCGTACATTTTATAACCAACAACAAACAGTATCATATAAATACATTTGGTTTAAAAAAATAAAAATTTATAAACTAATTTATAAACCTTTCAAAATTATTTTATTGGGATAAAACTGCAAAAAAAAAAAAAAATATACAATTTTAATAAAACTCGTTTTATCAATCTATACGTGGCTATTCGGACTTGATAAATTAAAATATATTTAATAATGAAACAAGTCAATAAAATTTAAAATAAAAAAAATAAATATTACTAATAATACTAATTTAAGAGAATTATTTAGGTTTGAATCCAATTTATTTGTTGAAGAAATGCAAATAAATTCAATAAATTATTTATTTATTTATTTATTCCATTTGGGTAATTTTTTATTCCATTTAAAATGGCGGCCCATGGGCTTTTTTCCGAGAAGGCCCAAACGAAGATGCCCTCGGTCTACGGTTCCTCTCTGCGTCTCAATTCATGCGTATTCCCGCTTTCGTTTTACATATATCTCGCGCTCTCTCTCTCTCTCTCTCCGCATCGGCCGATCTCATCTCTTATATTTCCGTTTCTCTTCGCTGTCGCGGCTTTTCTCGGTTTCCGATCGCTGTTGCATGAGAGCAGTCGGCAGATATTGGATCTCGAATCCTCCGCCTACTCTGTTCCTTCTCAAGCTTCTTTCTGATATTCTCCTGTTTCTTCTGGCAAACGGAACGACTTTGAGGACGTTGACGAACGGTAAAACTCTCGAGCCTTTTTCACTCTTTCATTACTTTATTTTCAGGTTATAGAAGGTTGTCTGTTTGGTTGGGAGAACTGTGAAAAACGATGAAAGTTGCTGAGAGTCAAAACAGATGGAGTTTCTTTTAGGGGTTAATAGGCGGTTCTTTATTTGCAGTTGGATTTTTGTATTCAATAATGTTTGGATAAAAATATACAAAAATGCAAATGAAGAAGTTTGGTTTTTTTTATTTTATTTTATTTGCAATAAATTGATTCGGGCACATCGGTAGAATTAGAAATGGATATACGATTGAGTCTGGGTGGGGAAAATATAGTAGTATGATCGAACATTAGTTTAAAGAATCTGCGAGTGAACAAACGGGTGTTATGTGAAATTATTTGTGTCTAGGCTGATGCTGAAGCTCATACGACAAGCATCAATTTATTGGAAAATTTTGATATATTTGATATTTAGTAAGTTGGCAACGCTGATTCAATGGTTGAATTTATGACATGAGACATTAGGAGTCTATGTTTAGCAAATATGAGATAGTGGGACAAAAGAAATTTAAGCATTGTTCTGTTCTTGCTTGAGGTTCTGCGAAATGGGTTTGTCACCAATTACTTAGGGTTTTTTTTTTTTTCATGGACAGGTTGAGGTGAAGATGAGTAGTAAGGAATCAAAGAGGTATGAGTCATTTTATGTTTTTTATTGTATCTGGATCCTTGATTGCCCGTCCAAATAGAAAGTTGAATCTCTTGTTCCTTCCTCACTTCCTATCTGAGGGTGCACGTGTCTTCCCACCCCACGGTCAAATGCTCTCTTATTGACTTCTCATGTTTGTTATCACCCGAAGGGCTGCTTGCTTAAATTGTTATTATTTTTTTTGTTGGCTCAGGCTTCAAGACATCTGTAAATGGGCTTACATGGTATTGATTTTAAAAAAAAATTATACATCAATAGTTTTTTTTTTTTTTTTTTTTTTTTTTTTTTTTTAAAAAA